ATCTAGTCCAATAGGACTCGTGTTCTTGTGGGAAGAAGACGACATACCAAGAGTGCTCACGTGCAGGAGAAAGGCCACGCGAAGACACAAGGAGGAAGCAGCCATCCGTGAGCCAAAGAGAGAGGCCCCAGAAAAACCAAACCTACTGACACCTTGCTCTTGGGCTTTTAGCTTCCAGAACTGTGAGAAACTAAGTTTCCATTGTTAAAGTAGTCTAGTCTGTGGCATTTTGTTATCGCATCCCTGGTAGCCTAATATGCCATTTAAGACTCATACATATTTACTTGTCCTTTTCAATATTTTTTTATTAGTCATTCTTAATCCACTGGATATCTAGGTTCTCTGCCAACTTTCGAGGAAAGCCAGCTCTAATAGTAAATGCCATGGTTTAATTAATGTCCCTTCTTTAATAATATTCTGATGAATAAAGCTTTTATTATTCATGTTTCCTGGAGTGTTGCTTATGTCCATTAAAGGTTCATATCTACTGTGATAACTTTAGTTCATTCAAGGATTGGTATGTAAAGTAACATGGCTTTTAATCACTGGGGACAATTAATTGCACACATGGCTATGAACAATTCACCTGATCTTTTCTGTGTTCACCATTCCTCCCCTCAAGGGCTGGAATCTGTTTCACCTCCCCTTGGATCTGGGCTGGCCTTATGATTTGCTTTGACCAATAGAGTGCAGTGGAAGTGATGCTGGTGAGTCCCAGACCTAGGCCTTTACAGGTGTTGCAGCTTCCATTTTTACCCTCTTGGGAGCCAGCTGGCACGTAACAAAATCTGTCCTGCAGGAGAGCCGCTCTGAAGAGGATCAGGCTCAGGTGGGGAGCTGTAGGCATGAGAATGCGGAGTGCCTGAAGGAGTCCTGGAAGGAGGGAGTTGCAGCAAAGGGAATGGGAGGGTGCCAAAGACAAATTGCACCTGCTGGGCCTGGTTATGTGGCCTAGAAGGAACCAGGGAATGGAGCACAGAGGTTTCATGATGGTGGTTTTAATTGGCCTTGGAGGCTTGCTGACCCGCTCTGGCTTTGACACTCAGCAAGGTTGGAACTGCCAGTGTTGGCTGGTATAAGAACTGGCAGGAAGTTGTCCATAATTGCCTCCGATGGTTGCTGGCCCTTGGCTCTCTGGCCCAGGACCCTATCCCTAGGCATTGGCCTGGGGAATTGGCTCCCAAACTCATACTGTCTTGCCAAAGCTCTATAGTGATAGCTACCTCAGGCACTGTTGTGGGTTGCATTGTGTGCCCCCCAAACTCATATATTGAAGTCCTAAGCCCAGCACCGCAAAAGGTGACCTTAGTTAGAGGATCATTGCAGGTGAAAGTAGTTTAAATAGTGTCAGGCTAGGGTAAAGTGGACCCCTAATCCAATATAACTCATGTCCTTATAAAGAGGGTAAATTTGGACACAGACACACAGGGTTAACACAATGGGAACATGAAGACGGAGATCAGAGTTGTACAGAAGCCAGGGAACGTGTGTGATACTTTGAAGCCACACAGTTTGTGATACTTCATTACACAGCAGCCCCAGCAAGCTAATACAAGAGTTGATGCCCCTTCTCTACCCGTGCCCCCTCCCCTCAGCCCTCACTTCTGGGTGGATGAACACAGGAGTAAGCTTGTGCCCGCAGTGAGGAAGCTGCCAGGTGGCCTCACAACTTCATCTAGTTAAAATTAAATTTCCTATTTTCTCAAAAAGTCTGTAAAGGTGATTTATTATATACTTCAGGCATAAGGAAAAGGAGATAATTTTCGATCAGAGGACACTTCTAATGCCTCTGAAATGATACCAAAAAGTTGTTTCATTTAACTTCTTTGAGACCCTTCTACCCAAGAATGTCTTCATTTCAGAGATTGCAGAGAGTTAACACTTGGTTGTTTCCTTTTCTTCAAAAAACTCGATTTAACCTCACTGTATTAGGATTGGCACTTGATTATTCCGATATGATCATTTGCATGATTTTTTAGTGCCACAAGTATTGAAAATTGATATTAGAATATTAAAATTGACATATCTTAGAGATCTTTAGTGCCTATAATAACAATAATATTGGGTGCGTTGAGCAGTAATAATGGAAATTACATTTGAAAAATAGTGGTAATAGAACATTGTGAAATGCAAGAAATAGAAAAAGCACACTGTGAGAGAAAACAATGTTTTAGTCACAGCATTTTGGCTCTCTGGGCTCCTCGGGGTCATGATGCCTGGGCTGAATGCGTTAGATCGACCTGTGCAATTCTGATTGAAGTGGAGAATTTTCAGTCACTGAAATCAAAAGGGGGTAGGGATGTTGTCATGTCTGAATATGCTTTTTGCTCTTTAGAATGGGTTAGTATTTTGTAAGTAAAAACTGGATTTCCATAGGAAGCATATATTTGCTATGATTTAACCTAATAATTTGGTTATTTTCCAGTTATTTGTAACTTGTGATTAACAGCTTAATTAAAAAACATTTGGAAAAATATGTAAAGTATACTTCTCTATACTTCATACTTATATAGTTTTTAGGATGATTTTAGGTTGATTGACTTTAACGTGTCCCTTTCATGCTTTATTGATCCTTCAGCATAGGCAAACTCACAGAAAACCGCAGTAAAAAAATAAATCTATGAGGAGCCTAAGAAATTCTTGATAATGTGAACGCACATTAATGTTGATTAATGCCACTGCAAATGTTGATTTTGGGTTTTGGATATTTTCTATACCAATTAGAAAAATGGTATGAAGTCTTGATTAACTATTTCTTTTAGCAGCTTAATTACCCTAACTCAGGAATATTTTGCTTAAGATTTTAAAAATTAAACAAAGCCAAGCAAGTGTCAGGACCACAGAGATGAAAAAAGGGTGAATTAATTCTTTTGTGTCCAGCTGACAATTATTTTAGTCTTGTGTATGTTTACATGGAACCTGCCTTTGCTCTGTTGCTTTCAGGAAAGAAAGGTTTTTTTTTTTTTTTTTTTTTTTTTAATGTTTCTCTCTGATTTTGGAACCATTGAATCAGCCAGTTGGTTATAGAGATCTAGCCTTTTCTAAGGCCTCTTTGTAACCTTAGGGTTGTTATCATCATCACTCTTTCCCTGGTGGACCAGGGGGTGCTCTCCAAGACCAGAGAATGAAGGCATGTCCCACAGGACCGCAGGATGCCGGGCAAAGGCCATTTTCGTGGAGCAATTATGTCTAAATTCCATGCATCCTCTCCATCCAACTCTGAAATCCCACAAGACATGTTATCACTGCACTGAGAGCCTTATGACTCAGCTGTATCTGAGAAACTTATCAAACAGAGATACCCTGAGAGAGAGGAGAGGTTGGGGCAGAAATGATCTCAGTCCTTATCCATCCTTCTAAACCGTCAAAAGGTATTTTACTTGCATGGGCAAGACATCAGTGACTTTGATCGACCGCTTCCTGAAGAGCTGATAGGGTCGTGTGTGACGTCACCGCTTGGGATGCCGGCCTTTGCCCTATCACAGCGATTCCCTCCACCCTCATTATTCCAGTTGGCGTCTGAATGCTGTCAGCTTCCTCAGTGTGGTCTAACACCCACTCCCACTGCCCTTCCGTTACTTGGCAGCAGACAAGTCGCCTTTACCAAATCCTTGTCTGTCGATAGGACTGTTGCACCAAGATTACAATTCTTTGAGATAGAAAGTTCTCTGCAAATGTAAAATGGTGATGTCAATAACATCAGTTCTACACACTGACCCTCATTCACTCTCCAATAGCCCTTTGTTTTCCAAACCAAAAGCCTTCTAGGGACTCTGAGTTACTGTTTTTCCTTTCGTGGTTCATGGGGAGTCAACATTGTGCAGTGGTTGAGAACATGGGCCCGTGCACAGACTTGGTTCACATTTCGCCCCTGCCTCCCCAGCGGTGCGGCAGGATGGGGCACTGTGAGTCTGATTTCCTAAACTCTGAAGAGGGATGCTAAGAAAGTCACCCTTGTAGAGCTGTTAAGGGGAGTAAATGGATATTGCAAGATGAAGTGCTTAGCAGAGTTCCAGGTACATATAGGCTCTCGGTGAGTAATTAGCTTTCATTGCTTTCTGGGGATATTTGGAGTTCTGTTATTCTAATGGATTTTGCACAAAGCCAGCAACAAGGAGCTGATTCTCATCACTTAATTAATTGCAAAAATCTTTCCCATCCTACTCTTTTTTTCTATATTCTATCTCACCCAGAATGGGAACTTGTATTCATTAAATGAACAGAGAATGGTATTTTTGCCTTTTTTATTTTTAGAATGTTGTACGGGTATATACTTTTTAAAGAAATCATGGAATAATTTTTTTACAAGCCCCATATTCAGATACTTGAGGTCTCTTTCCCCGGCTTCCGGTTCTGCTGAAGTTGGGGTGGGTGTGGTTTGTGAGGTGGTCCTGCAGGCAGTGGTTCTCTGTCAGTCCCTCCCTGCAGGCTGCTACTGTGTCTGGTCACACTTGGGTTCCCCTGTGCAGCATGTAAGCTTCGAGGGGAGGCTGTGGACACAGAGCTTCATGATACATACACTCTAGCATCTTCTTCTTGGACATTCATTCTCATTGGGCAGAAAGAAAGGGGGTCCATTATGACCTCTGACTGGCATTTCATTATTTGTATATTAATATTTGGTGTGGAGTGCAGTTAGAAATTCATAAATGGCCATTTGAACAAGGCCTTTATTCTAAAACTCGAGAAATTCTGCTGTCCATGGCTGTTAGCTAGAGCCTTGTCCTGATATGACAAGGTTGTGGGTTCAATCCCTGGTCAGGGCTCATGCAAGAATTAACCAATTAATGCATAAATAAATGGAACAACAAATCAATGCTTCTCTCTCTCTCTCAAAATATCAATAACTTAAAATATAAAGAAAGAAAAAAGAAAACAAAAGGAAAAGAAAAATTCTGCTTTCTGGGAAGGTAGTGAAACAGTGATGTTCCTGATACCAAGATGGCATTTTAAGCAACGTTTATTGAATCTGCTAATCTCATTTTATCATTTTGTTACAGATTGATGTTCTCAAAGCAGATCTGGAAAGTGCAGAATGGAAAGTTTTGGAAAATCTTATTCTGGAAGATGTCCTTGAGCAAATTGGACAGCTCATCTTCGAGATCCATCTCCACTGGCCTGGGTTCGAGGTCGGTGGCAGCGACAGCAGCGTAGTGCGGTTCTGGTACAGCCTCCTCAAAGAGCTGGAGCTAAAGGATTTCAGGCTTTTTCACAGTTACAAAGATTTATCTAAACCTCAGCTCTTCCTGAAGAAAGACATTTTCAATGCGAGTAGCTGTTATACTCTCAGTTGGGTAAATACAAGATGGAAATAGTCTGCAGGACCTCATCAAGAACTCAAGGAAATATTTACAGAATGGTGGACATCCATGATTCTAATGATCATTTGACTTGGGCAGTGTCCCACTAGCCAGTTACCTGTTTGAGGCCGGCATGGTCATTGCCTTTGTGGTGCGTGTAGCCTGGCGCCCGCCACGTGGTAGGGGCACGTTCACATGAGGATGGATACAGGAGTCAGCCTTCATCTGCCCAGACCCAGGCTCTTTGCCTGTTTGCCCCTGACAGAGTGGGGATGCTCGTCTTCCTTCACTTTGATTCGGAAAATAATCCCCAAATTACCTCAGTTTTCTCTAAAATTCATTACATATTAATAATCCATGAATTCATCGACATAAAAAAGAAATGATACAAATTTTCTGTTTTTATGGGATGGATGAGATTCTTAAGTTTGCAGCCTGCTGTTTAAAGTAGGATCTTTCCTTTGGCTTGAACTCACCTCTTTCATGTTCCCCTTGTTGCTCTTGTCAATAACATTCTTCAGACCTTGTAGATTTCAGTCGCTCCTCCTCAGCCTTTGCTCAGGCCATGCCACCGTTTTATAAAAGCCACTGATTCTAGGACGTAGGGAACTGAGACACACCAAATTCTCTCACTAAATTTAGGACTAGACTCTCAAGAGCTGCAACTCAATGCACTTTTCATAGTAGCCTTAAACCCCTTCTGTTCCTATGAACTAAGCACAAAGTAGAATTTGAGTCCTTATTGTTCAAACCTGATTTCTCAACCACAGACTTGCCTATGCTGTCAATTCTTTTTTTTTTTTTAATATATTATCTCAAAGATTGAGTGTTTCTTTACTGCCAGTTGGTATTTGGTGGCCTGAGGGCCAGAGTCTCTTTCCTGAGGTGGTCGCACAGTGTTTCAGTAGTACCAATCCTTTTTACTTTTTAAAAACATATTGAGCAGAAAATTCAGGTTCTCAGTAGTTCAAATAATCTTCCTCATTTCTATTTGCAGGATTAGACATTTATTCCTATGAATAATTTTCAAATACATATTTCAAATAAATTAATTAAATAGTATAAAATGAACCAAATTATTACCTTATTATAAGATAAGTGTATCTTCTGACACTTTTTACATCCTGACAAAGCAGGAAAACCATCCATACATGTTTATTCAAGACATTTGGGGAGGGAATAGAATGCTCATTACTACTAAATTTTATCTCTTTTCTCATTTTTTTTACCTACTTCTACCCCAGACATTCCCTGGGCTCTTTGTTTCTTGCAATGGTTTGAAAATACATTCCTCAAGTGAGAACCCAAAATATGTTAGAGTTGTATGATTTCACTAACTTGGGTTCAAAAGAAACAAGACTTTCTGAATTAGTGATGATTTTTTTTAAAATATAAATGAGGTTTTTACTTTAAAACCCATAGGACATTAATAAAAGTCATTGAGTTGGGAGGACCAGTTTGAATAAGTGTGATTTGTAACAGCACTTCAGTTGCTTTTATCATCTACAGCAATTTCAAAAGTACAAAGGGTCCATAAAAGCTCTAAAGTTAATACTGTCGGTTTGCGTGGCGCAGCCTCCAAAACAAAGTTCACTTTAGTACAGCTCCTGTTTGGATTGTATCACAGATTCTCTCTCTTTTCTTTTATTTTTTTCATAATAATTTTATACATTAAAGCATATACAATAAACCTGTTCATACAGTAAACATTTAAACCTTTTTATACACTAAACTATGACATATACTGATCTTAGGTGCCTAGATATGTAGACACCCATACGGATATTTTTGTTTCATAGGATGGAACATTTTTGGCATTACTGAAAGCCCTCTTTGTATGGGGCAAGTTACCAGTTATTCTAGTTTGGTGGTACAGAACATTGACTTCAACACACACACACACACACACACACACACACACACACACATATGCACTCAGGCACATACACATCTGAAGCAAGGATGGGTGTACTGTTAAAAAAAAAAAAAGAAAAATTCAAAATAAATCACAAACACACCCACCCACACCCACCTACTAGGCAGCCTGTTCAATAGTTATTTGTACTTATTTTATGCTTATTTCCAAGACTGTCCTTCATTCCCTTTATGGAGAATTTGAAATTTATGATGAATTTTCTGACTGTTGCTATGGCTTCTCTGGCTCTAGAATTTATTGTGATTACTGCTTTGGCCAGGGTTTCTTAACCTCAGCACCATTGCTGTTCCGGGCTGGGTACTTCTTTGTTGGGGGAGGGAGGGCTGTTCTTTGCATTGTAGAATGTTTAGCAGCCTCTTTGAGCCTCCCTACTAGATGCCAGGAGCACCTTCCCCCCTCCCTTTTCAAGTGACAGCCAGATATGTCTCCAGACGGTGCCAAATGTCCCCTAGTGGGCAGAATTCCCCACTGTGGAGAACTGGTGTAGGCATGAGACACAGTCTAGGTTACCACAGCTCTGGTGTTTGGGGAGATCCTGCCTCTGAAGAGCAGGCAAAACCACCACAAAAGAACACAAAATCAAAAGCTACAATTTATTGAGTACTTATTATGTGCCCAGCACTGTCATAGATTATTCCTAATTCTCCCACAACCTACAAAGAAGTGTAATTTCCCCAAAGACATATACAGGTAAGGACACTCTGAGAAGTTAAATAGGAGTCCAAATCTTGGTTGGTCAGATCCCCCAGCCTAGGCTGGTCCCTCCACAATGCTGCTTCAATGGCTTCTAACAAACATAAGGTGCTACTTTCAAAGGACATATTTTTGCCTTCCTATTAATAAATAGTAGGGGGGGGGACCTACAAATATACTAAGACCAGACCTACAAATTTCTTAGAGTTTGGGTTATTTCTGTAGCATGCAGGTGTAATTTCAACAACCTACTTAATAAAAATATGCCTGCCAAGTGGAGGCTTACTGACAAAATATGGGGACCCAACGCATTCTCTGTTAATATATTCAGATTGCCAGTAAAGCTCTTGCACGGCCTTGGAAGGGACACTTGGCCCTGGCTCGTCCTAACACTTGGCACTTTTTCTCCTGGATTTTAGAAAGGGCACAACCACTTGGAAGTGCAGCTCCCTTTATTTCAAACCGGTTTTTGATTCTAGGCAAATGAGCTCATATGGGAATATCGGTGACATAATTTACTCTTACCAGAGTAATGCTCATAAATGAATGTGAAAGTGCAAATTAAATAATAATACTCTTATCCAATGATAAAAAAAGAACTGTTCTTTTTTCAGGATAGATTCTTTTTCTGAGGATGTAAGAGATTTAGAGGTCACCTTTTAGCACAAACTCTGTTACAATTTGAGATAAAAGTCAAAGAAAAACAATGTTTCCTTTCCCCTTAGAGTGATTGTATTTGATGAAGTTATAATAGGTTATCATATAAATATTTGTAGGTATTTGACATGTTCAAATGAAGAGAACCAGGGAGAAGTAAACAAACTTCCATTAGAATTGACTGGTGGTCCATTCATATTTACATCAGGCTAAAACAAAAGTAAATTCATGAATTTAGTGTTTAGTTCAAATTGGCTATTCATGTAAGCATTTCTGCCTTGGCTGTAAAAGTTTAGTATATAGTAAATACAGTACAAGATTTGCATTTCCTAAGTATTACATGTTTGGATTTTGCAAAGCTTAGATTTATACCAGAAAACTAGCCTCATCATATTTTGCCAGATTAAAAATGAAGGTCTCATTTAAAAAGATTATTATACTTGACAATACAATGGTACCTCCAACCTCAATTAATATAATTATTCCCTTCTTCTGGAGGTAAAATTATGTTTGACTTATAAGCAATAACATAAATTTTTGTATTTGGCCGTTGCTGGCTTTTTGTGAATTCAATAATACATTTAACCTTCCGCTAAAATGTCTTCCTTTTTCTTACATTGAAAGAGGTATTTGAACTTTTCACATGAAATGATACCCCCCAAATTCAGCATATTTTTAAACTACCTAAATTTAGAAATTCTTGAAATAATGTTATTTGAAAAATAAATTGGGCAAGCTTAATATCACACTTCACATTTAGCACCATATGGAAAAATGTTAGTTCTCAATACCTTAAAACTAATGCTTTGTAAAAATGTAGCAACTTCATTTTATTGTATAAGTTTTTTCTTAGCGACTGGTCTTGTGCAATAAGATTGTCTGAAACAATAAGGGACTTGGTTTTTTCCTGTCAAGTTTGAATTCTAACCTAGATTATATCAATAGAAGGAGCCTAGTATACACAGGACAGAAAAGCAATCAATATGTACCAGGGAGCTGTGGTGGTTGGTAAACAGCTGTGGTCCTCAGTCACTCGACTCCTCTGTGGCCCCTTCCACAGGACCCCTGGACCTCTCCAAGGTCGAGCAGTTCATGCACAGCACACGGGGCAGCTTCCAGGACGCTGCCCCAGCGCAGTGGTTAGCTTCTATCCTAACTGCCCCATGTCCTGTGTTACTGGTTGTTGTATATTTTGGTATCAGCTCTGGGTGAGTATATATACTGAGCAAAAGTCCAGTGGGTTCAATAACATGAATGAAACTATAATTATGTCAACAATAAGCAATTCTTGGTACAGGCAATATTATTTCTCAAGGATTGATGTCAGATCAAACCTGGTTTCCTAAGGGACCCCCTCCCCCATTAAAGACTCCCGGCCACATGTCTCCATGTGGTCCTCTAGCCTCCCTCTCTTCACAAGCCTGTACTTTAATGTATCTGCTTATGTAATGGTTGCCTTGCTCAGCAGACTGTGAGCTCCCTGAAGGTAAGGGCCAGGTTGGGAGCCCCCACGCCGGCTAGGTGAAAGGTGCTCAATAAATATTGGTTGAATATGAATAAAGAAAGCTATTTCACTTAGGATTTTTCAGTACATTTATTTCATCAGCATTTGTTACTGAAATTTTTTTCTGGCATTAAAAATACATTTGCAATTTAGATGTGCCACTGTCTTTCATTGTGGTTAATTTAAATTTAGACACGGTTTATCCTTTTCTTGACATGGTGGTTT